CTCGTGCTCCATGTTTAACCGTGGTGTTGTTGTAGAATTGTTTCTGTGCACTCTCACCGGAACGTGTTCTACCGTGGCTTCGAACGTCCGTGCTCTTCCGCAACCCGCGCTTTACAGCATGTGAGGTGTCAATATTTTAATTCCCTTTACACTCCCGTCATGTTCTTGTCCATCCAATTTTATGGCTGCGTGCTCTCCCGCGGCTCGTCTCTTTCTGAATAGCTCGTGGCTTTTGTTGTTTTCGTGCCCATTCGTGCTTCCGCCTCCACTCCAGCGTGTACATTGTCTCGATTAATATTCTTCTGTGTTTCTTGCTCTTACCTAGGTTCGTGTTCTTCAGTGGCCTCGCGTCAGCTCGATCACCCAATGCGCTTGATGTACGCTACGTAATGTGTTGGAAAGTGCGCCAACTATCTTATTTCGCACATTACACGAGCGAATACAAATTAGTTATCACACCTAAAGGAATACGTTTTTTTTCGCGGAGGTGGAGTGGTGTGTGTGGGTGTGAGGACGCCACTATAGTCACATTTGAAAAGTTTCTAGTAATTAATATTAGTAAAAAACCTGTGTACTTTTGTCTAACACTAATATAATAATTACGTGTACTACTACTAAAAGTTGCTACTTCTAAATATGAGTAATATTTCGTTCATATTTATCTAGCCGATAGTCCCGGTAATACTACTACCGTATGTTGACGACTACTACTAATCCCTGCTCACAAGTAAGTTAATCTTCGTCTGATAACTAAAAATGGACAAGAGCGAGTGTGCGCTTTGCTACCGGCGGCGTGACATCTTCTCCTGCGCGAACTGCACGTCAGCCATGCTGCAACAGCGTCGCACGATGCTATCCGCGCTGCAGGCGGACGTGGCGGTGCTACGCAAAAAGACTGAGTGTGCGCTGAACGTGCGTCACATAGTCCACGATAGAGTATTCACTTAGCTAATGTTTTTTATCGTAATGCTACAGACGAAAAGTGCGCTGGTGGAAACGGAACTGCGTCTTGACAGATGCATGAAGCAGGTGGAGCAGCTGGCCGAGAGGGTCATGAAGACGCGCGAGCAACTCTGTTCCGAGCGGATCGCGGTCGTGGAACGGGCCTCTAAACTGGAAGAGCGAACTATGCAGATGGCGGAGGCGCAGCACAAGCTGCAGCAGGAGAATGAAAGAGCCGAAAGCCTCCATGTTCCCATTCTCGAATGTCTCGACTACCAAGTTCAATGGGCGGACGAGGTACGGCAAAAAAAACTCGAAAATTAAGTTAGCTGAGAATGTGGCTTACGTGTTGGTGGTTTGGATGGAAGAATGCTGCAAAAGTACGGGGTGATAAACTTCGAGAACTGTTCGCATTGTTTGGCTTGACTCCGAAGGACGAGAGAAATGTGGATGAGGGTGAAGATGAGGACGACCCGTTGAGTGGGTTACCTGACGAACGCGAGGGTGTTTCGGAGGAACAAAGACAACGGAAAGCACGGACGAGCGGTCCTGTGTACTTTGGCAGCCTGGGTGCGCAGAGCCAGCCCGACACACCTCGACTCCACGATTGCCCCCACGAAATGTTCGTACTGCGTGGATATTGCAGATCCTTTAATATCAAATACTGATCTCAAAAGGCTGTATTGTTTTAATTCCCTCACACATGTGTGTAGTAGGAATAATTGCCTATCTCGGAAGCAATTCTTGTCCAATGGGTTCCCTGTTTTATTTTCCGAGACCCCAGACCCCCGGCAGGAGCCAGGCTGGTCCAGG